TTTGTATATTTCATAGCATTGTTTAAAAGCATTTGTATATTTAATAGCATTGTTTAATAGCATTTGTATATTTACTAGCATTGTTTAATAGCATTTGTATATTTCATAGCATTGTTTAAAAGCATTTGTATATTTACTAGCATTGTTTAATAGCATTTGTATATTTCATAGCATTGTTTAAAAGCATGTGTATATTTACTAGCATTGTTTAATAGCATTTGTATATTTCATAGCATTGTTTAATAGCATTTGTATATTTCATAGCATTGTTTAATAGCATTTGTATATTTCATAGCATTGTTTAAAAGCATTTGTATATTTAATAGCATTGTTTAATAGCATTTGTATATTTCATAGCATTGTTTAAAAGCATTTGTATATTTACTAGCATTGTTTAATAGCATTTGTATATTTCATAGCATTGTTTAAAAGCATTTGTATATTTACTAGCATTGTTTAATAGCATTTGTATATTTCATAGCATTGTTTAATAGCATTTGTATATTTAATAGCATTGTTTAATAGCATTTGTATATTTACTAGCATTGTTTAATAGCATTTGTATATTTCATAGCATTGTTTAAAAGCATTTGTATATTTAATAGCATTGTTTAATAGCATTTGTATATTTACTAGCATTGTTTAATAGCATTTGCATATTTCATAGCATTGTTTAAAAGCATTTGTATATTTACTAGCATTGTTTAATAGCATTTGTATATTTCATAGCATTGTTTAAAAGCATTTGTATGTTTCATAGCATTGTTTAATAGCATTTGTATATTTCATAGCATTGTTTAAAAGCATTTGTATATTTAATAGCATTGTTTAATAGCATTTGTATATTTACTAGCATTGTTTAATAGCATTTGTATATTTCATGGCATTGTTTAAAAGCATTTGTATATTTACTAGCATTGTTTAATAGCATTTGTATATTTCATAGCATTATTTAATAGCATTTGTATATTTACTAGCATTGTTTAATAGCATTTGTATATTCCATAGCATTGTTTAACTTTGGGTCCGGGTTATGTATTTTAAAAGCGAGATAGTGATACGGGAAATGGTTTAAATTCAAGATTGGGCTGCAGCAGCTTTGTGTATTCTAAAATTTCTCTCGAGTTCGCTTGCTCCTACCCATAATTTAATTGACGGATAGAAGGGGCCAATGAAACATTTGGAGGAACATCAGATGAGAACTTGGCAGGATTTGATCGGCGTTTAAGAGGCGTCTTGTTGATTAGTACGTTTGCCGCGGTTCGTATAGAGTTGCGCTAAAGAGGGACAGGGCTCAAGAAACCATGACATTTTGTGACAGGCGGTGAGGGGTCAAGTTCATGTGTCAGTGTGACGACACTCATTTTGAACAATTTATTTGTTCATACATAAAAAAAAACAAAAAAAAAAAACGTGAAATTCCGTTGTGGTGTAAGCAATTAGATTGAGAGAGGATATCTCTCAGCTCGTGAACTTTCAATTGAATTATTTTTTTGTTCCTATTATTTTCTTAAGAAACCATGACATTTTGTGACAGGCGGTGAGGGGTCAAGTTCATGTGTCAGTGTGACGACACTCATTTTGAACAATTTATTTGTTCAAACATAAAAAAAAACAAAAAAAAAAAAAAACGTGAAATTCCGTTGTGGTGTAAGCAATTAGATTGAGAGAGGATATCTCTCAGCTCGTGAACTTTCAATTGAATTATTTTTTTGTTCCTATTATTTTCTTTATGAGAAATAATGTCTAAAGATAAATAAAAAAATATATTTTATATAGAACTGTTTTCTTTTACACACTCTCTCAATCAGCAGGGGCGGTAAAAATCTCTCCCTACTTCAGTTTCATCTTTTAAATGTTTTTTAGATATATGTCCAAATCAGTGGTTTCCACAGTGTGTGGTACCCCCCCCCCCAAGGGGGTGGTGATATGTCCCAGGGGGTAAATGTGCAGTCATTTTAGGGGCGCTGGCGTGGATTATTTCATCAAACTTTTTTTTAGTTTTTTAATTTAAATTAGGAAAAAAAAGTTAAAGAAATAATTGAACGGTACAATGGGTTATTAACAACGAGATTATATTAGCGCAGTATGACGTCCTCGTTGTACTGTAGTAAGACAGTGAATGTACTTTTAAAAAGGTGCATTGACAGAATTTCTTAGTACGCCGATATAAAAATAAATAATAAAATCGAAACCTTTATTTACTCATCAATGTAAGCAACCTGTTGCATACCGTGTTAGGTTTTATGTCATTCTACGATTTTATGGAGCGAACCAAAGAGATGATGTTGGAAAGTAACGAAATAGTCGAACATGCTGTGTGGAAGCTTGAAATAGAAAGACAGGGCATTACAAAAAGTAACGTTTCGGCTAACAGCCCTCCTCGTCAAGACAGCGCTAATACAAAGACAGACACGAAATAGAAAGTAGCTCAAGAGGCTTGGAGTTCGCCATTAATGTTACTGTCGGAAGTTGGGCTTTGCTAAACCCTGATTACAGTAAGATCGATAGGGTAGGCATTAATCAACTTTGCATTACTTTGAAAACACTTTCAGATTACGATAACTTGATACTATGTCACAGATAATTTAGCATAGAAAAATATCACCAGTTTTATGGGTACTTATTTTGCTATTTAAATAATATATTTTCCCCTTTGTTTCTTTTTTTTTTTTTTAAACATGATTTTTATGCGGTAATTTTTTCCTCTCTACTATTGGCATAAGCACGTGCTTATAATAATGAATGGCTTATTTGTGCCTATGTGCGTGTGAATGTGAGCTATTTGTAGCCTTGTACAAAGTAAGAAAACAGGATGTTGTACGCCAGTGTACGATTAAGACACAAAGACCTTTAAAATGATATTGACTTTTCTTAGTGACCGGGCGGCCTCGACGTGGCTAAGCATTTCAACAGCTAGTTGGGGGGGGGGGGAGG